CAGGGGCAGGGCAAACGGGGCGGCTGCCCCAGCCCCCGCGCTTCAAAAAGCCCCGCGCATGCGCCGTGGCAAAGGGGGCCCCCGCAAAATTATGCTGCCCGGGGCCCCGCAAAACAGTCATCCGACCCTGCTCTTCCTCCTCCCCACCTCTCTCTAAGCATAGCCACCAGACCTTGCCCTGTGTGAACTGTTCTATGGTTAGCTAGCCCTAACATTTGTAACCAGTTCCAATTTAGATTTAATATTGTAACTGTTTTGTGTGTTTGGTTCCCTATTTATCTATTCACTACCCAGAAGTAAATCACTTTCATTGGTAAGCTGGTTGCTTCTCTCTCTTTCCTTCTCTTTCTCTCCCTCTTCCTCAAGGGGTGTTGTTTGGGCTTCCCCATTCGCTCCGCAACAACCCTTCTTGTACCCAAGCTAAAGATCCTTGTGGTGCCCAAAGTCCTGTGGGGTTTGCTCATGGTGTGGTTTACGTGTGATGTGAAAGTGGGGACGGGGATGTGGTTTACCAGTGAATGCTTGTGGTGTGAAAGTGGGGATAGGGGGTACTGAACCTGGGGGCTTATGAGGATGGCAGCTTAAAGTGCTGTTTAATCTGGCCCACTGAGTCCAAAGGTTCATGAGGGCGCAGTGTGACATTGCTGTGAAACCCAGCCTGCTGAATCCAGAGACATATGAGGGATCAGCTTGTGAGTGCTGATGCCCCAGTCTTCTCAGACGTGCTGTTAGTGGGGGTGAGTGTCCGTGTGTTGCTAAGGTGGGAAGAACCCCGTCCTGAGGAACCTAATTCCTGCAGGAAAGCTCCAGTGAGAGGGGGAATTGGCAGCAGGGAGAATTCAGCTCCATATGAGAGCACAAGCAGCACATGGATAGAATTGTGAACCTCCGCCCCAGTCCCATAAGAGTAACCCTAATCAATGAGCACACCCCAGAGTATTGGACAAATCTGGTCACACTTCCCACCACGCTGCCCTGCAGGCTGCTAACCCACAGTGCTTTGCTCTATCTGTCGGCAGGGCGCTAGCCACGTGGCCAGGAAATGTGACAATGGGAGGCACTTACACTGGTGAGACCAGTTTTTACTTTTGGCAACATTTGCATGTCGACAGCACTTTTGTGGCCAAACCTTCCCCATGTAGCCACAGCCTGACCTGGTTCAGTGGGGAAGTGAAAACTGCAGTCACACATGGAAGGGGGGGGGAAGGGGATAGTGTATAAACCAGAAGCTAAGTATTGTAGAAAATTGATAAGGGAAGCAAAAGGACAAAAGGTGACAACTATGGCCAGCAGAGACAAGGATAATAAGGAGGCTGGGTTTTAAAAAAATATATATTAGGAACAATCATATTGGTCGATATTAGATGGAAACGGTAGAATTATCAATAACATCGAAAAGGCAGTATTGTTCAATAAATATTTTTGCTCTGTGTTTGGGGAAAAACATCCAGATGATCTTGTACCCTCTGCTGACAATAACACGCTTTCCAGTCTGCTTATATCTGAGGAGGTTTCTAAGCAGCACTTACCAAAGTGAAACATTTTAAAACCAGCAGATCCAAACACTTTCCAGTCAAGAGTTTTAAAAGAGCTGCCTAGGGAACAAGCTTCAGGATGGACTCATTTGGGGCGCCCCCCCCTAGGAGGAGGTTGCCAGAGTCAAGATCTTCTCGACCCCCCCACCCGCCTCCATGCCCAGGAAAGGTCCATGCTGATGCCCCTTAAACTCCAAAGCACCGTCTACCCTAGCTGGGCACCGAACAACTGTTCCAGTGTATTCTGCTGGTGGCCTGTGGGTTCTGCCTTTGTTTTCCATTCAGCAGCGGGGAGAGGTCGGCATCGATCCCGATCCACTCGGGCAGGAAGGCGGCTTCCGGCTTGAAGAGGCGGAGGAAGGGGGAATCGGGGAGGGTGTAGTTGGACAAGTAAATAGTTTCCCCCCCAACCAGGTAGCCAACCCAGATGCCGAAGGTCCCGATGGTCATGATCGTGTGGTTGCAATGGGCCAAGAGAGCGAAATCCCTCCCCGGCGACGACTCCTTCCCGTCCCCCGAGAAATACACGTCCCCCCGCGAGGCGTCAATGTTCTCCCGGCACCAGTCCATCCCGTTGCTGGTCACCACGAAGACCGGCTCCTGGTACTTGGCCCGGAAGTAGCCCATGGCCTTGTCCAGGTAGGCCTTGTCCGCCACCACCCCTTTCCAGACGTTGGGCATCACATGTACATAGTCCCCCCTCCGGACATGGATGCCCACGTAGGTCACGTTCCGGCGCTGCCCACGCAGCCCAGCCAGGTACTGGTTGGCCTCCTCCCTGATGTGGTCGTGGAAGGAGAATTCCTGGCGGATCTCCTGCCGGAGGTGGTGGTAGAAGGTCCAGGAGCAGGGGTAGCCCGTGAGCCGGACGTATTTCCCCTCGATGTGCCTGTACTCCTCCGACATCCAGTCGTGGAGCCCGTAATCCCTCCAGGGGATGAGCCAGACCTGGTATCTGGAGAGCACGGGCAGGGTGATGCG